TTTTTTTTTTTTTTATTTCTTCTAAATTCAAATTCATCTAAATTTATTTCCATCTAAAATTTCAACTTCTTTTAAATTAAAAATCTTCTAAATTTTAATTTCATCTAAATTTATTTTCTTCTAAAATTTCAACTTCTTTTAAATTAAAAATCTTCTAAATTTTAATTTCATCTAAATTTATTTTCTTCTAAAATTTCAACTTCTTTTAAATTAAAAATCTTCTAAATTTTAATTTCATCTAAATTTATTTTCTTCTAAAATTTCAACTTCTTTTAAATTAAAAATCTTCTAAATTTTAATTTCATCTAAATTTATTTTCTTCTAAAATTTCAACTTCTTTTAAATTAAAAATCTTCTAAATTTTAATTTCATCTAAATTTATTTTCTTCTAAAATTTCAACTTCTTTTAAATTAAAAATCTTCTAAATTTTAATTTCATCTAAATTTATTTTCTTCTAAAATTTCAACTTCTTTTAAATTAAAAATCTTCTAAATTTTAATTTCATCTAAATTTATTTTCTTCTAAAATTTCAACTTCTTTTAAATTAAAAATCTTCTAAATTTTAATTTCATCTAAATTTATTTTCTTCTAAAATTTCAACTTCTTTTAAATTAAAAATCTTCTAAATTTTAATTTCATCTAAATTTATTTTCTTCTAAAATTTCAACTTCTTTTAAATTAAAAATCTTCTAAATTTTAATTTCATCTAAATTTATTTTCTTCTAAAATTTCAACTTCTTTTAAATTAAAAATCTTCTAAATTTTAATTTCATCTAAATTTATTCAAAATGCACTTCTTAGTAAAAAAAAAAACAAAAACTTACCAGTTTTTAGGAAGGATTAAAATAGGAAGGATTGCTATTCTAGTAATAATATAACACTTTGATTATATATACGTCTATATGTAGTTGCAGCTTTATTATGTCTTGTACACAGAACTTCTAGATGTACGTGTGATCGGTACAGAGCTATAGTCAAGAGTGAGTATGTCACAATGTAAGAGACTACTCTAGAGGCCTGGTAATTACTTTAAACGTCTAATAGATGGTGCCTCATGTATGAGCAAAGTAAACTATTTCTGACAGAATCTACAAGACCCTTGCAATTCTGACAAATTATCTTAAAGTTCTGCGCAAGTTGGCAATTAGCAAAATTATCTATTTGAATGTTCTGTTCTCCTAGTGATAAAGAATCGTTAGGCAGATTTTCACTGGACGTGTCAGAATTAACCTGGGTCTCTGGCTCACTCATGCCTATAAAATATGAAAATAAAAAAAAAAAAAGTGAGAATGACGTAATGAAAGAATTAAAAAAAAATTCTTGAAAATTATTCCATGCACAACCACCAAAATTTATTGAAAAACAATTTCAAATTATAAATAATATGAATTTTAGTATTAAAAAATAACCCTGAATAATTTTTGCAATTTTTAAGGTTATAAAAAAGTACTTTAATTTACTTACTTGTTTTTTTTCTTTTATATTTTGGGTCAATAATATCTGAATATATTTTTATCACAATTAAGATATAATAAATCAATCTCAGAACATTTATTTTTTTAGCGAAAAATTATTATTAAAAGGTTTATGCGATATGCTCGCTCGATTCGTACTTCATACGTATTCTTTTTGACTTAAGTGATTCACGGAAAAAAACTTATTAGATGAGACTCTATATGTGAGGTTTAATATTATTGACTAGTTGTGACAGTTGAGCTAAGTGGCTAACAAGACTATTTACATTTAAACTTAAAACTTTCAATGAGTTTCCCTTACAATTACTTATCCTAGTTAAATCTACTTTATGTTAATCAAGCTTATTTAAATCTAACTCTGAGTTTATAACAATACGCTCTGAATCATCGTCTCTTTTTGCAAATATTTGGCCATTACGAGACCAAACATATTTGAATTTTTTAATTTTTGCTGTACTTTTCACTTTCAATAATAATCTATACGTTTCTGGTTTTAAATATTCATTTACGTAGACAAATCCCTTAGATGAATCTTCAGCACATGATGGAAAGACGTCCTTAATTGGTAGATTTTTTATCTTCCTTTTTGTTCTCAAAATGAAATCACAAATTTGCGGAGATTTCAGATGTAATACGTATGAATGTGAAACTTTGTTTGCATTTCGGTTGGAATCTAATTGACGCACCGATAAAATGTCCTCTATCAGATTTGAAACCTTAAGTTTCTCAAATACTCTAGAGGTGACTTCAATAGGTGAGAGATCATGTGCCACTGTATTAGAAATTCCTGAAATAACTATTTCAGACACAGATACCACAGCAGAGATGTGAGTAGATAAGTTAGCACTAGCATTGGGAATTACATCTGATCTAAGTTTGATTATTTCTTCACGCATACTGTTAGTTTCTGCCTTTGAGTCCTCTCGAAGAATTTTCAATTCTCCATCAAGTCTTAAAATGTCAGAGGTATTAGCCTGAACACTATCTTTGAGAGAGTTTATTCGTTCCCCTAGATCATCTATTTTGGTGGACATTGATTGTGAGGACTTGAAGAAAAACTGCATCATCGATGTTAACTTGTCATCAATGCTTTTAGTATTCCAATCTTCTGGAAGTTCGAGAATAGATGCCTGAGGAGTTATTTGTGACAGCATTGCTTCTTGCGAAGAAGATAGAGACATAGTAACAGTTTTTCTTGAGGACACTGTTTTTACTGCTGTTGAACTTGAGGTCAGAAACGAGAAGACGTTATCGAAATTTGGTGGTAAATTTGATACTGAAGTAATAGGTGTTATGGGCGATGAGTTACACGACTTGTAACTAGTGGTTGATGATTTTTTCGGTATAGTACTTATCTTCTTAGTTTTATTAATTGACTGTACAGCTAAGGCAAGAGTACTCGAAGATGTTAATGGTGATTTCGAAGTTGTATCAGGTCCTGATCGACGATTATTAAATGTAAGAGAGGCAGATTTGCTTCTAGTACGGATTTCACTTGACGAAAATGTCTTTATACAACAATCATCCGAGAATTTTGATTTTGAATAGTTTCGCAGACAAGGTAAATGGAAAGATTTTTGACAAGTAGAGCAAGTGATAAGTGGTTTAGTCGGCTTATGACAAGCTACACATGTACCAGATGCTACTGACATAACATGAATTTGTCATCCAACAAAGTCCACTTTAATAAGTAACTTATATAATACTTATAAGAATAAAATAGTGAATAAATAGAGCGATACATGGGAAGTAGATAATACATAGAAGTAAGGCGATTTGTGACTACCAGCACACACTATGTCATCAAGGACAGCTTCATAGGTAAACACCGATGCCAAAAGTACAGTTACAAGTCTGAATCCACTTAAACTATGTATAGGCAAAACAACTGATCACATCAGCACAACTACAATTCACTACTACAATCCACATCACCGATAGTGAATACATAAGCAATGCTGCGCAGCAATTACGCAGAGCAACGAAAAATTTCACCAGTATATAACCCCAAAACCAATGAAAAATAAAAACTTTCACCAATTTATAAAAAACTTAATAGACACCGAAGATGCACTCCAGTGATTTATATCTCAAAATGTAGATCAAAAAATTCGGAATGAGATCACATACACGCAAACCAATCCAATAATAAACTACTATGTAAAAAATGAAAAGATATGCAGAGCACTAAACTGCGTGCAGGTTGATACAAGTACCCACTATGAATTGATTGAATTATTAATTTCTCAGATTTACGCAAATGTACAGATGGAACTTTTATTGATTTAATAGTCAATAATGAAAATCTTCCGGCGGAGACGATTAGTTTATGCCACCAAAAGGTGTTGGATGGTTGTAAAAATGCATCATCATTGTATGTAGTTACAACAGGCACAATAAAGCTTAAAAATTTACCGACAGAAGAGATTTTGATGGTAGTTGCTGATCTCGAAAATCATGTACGATTGTATTTTTCTCAACTTTTTAAATTTTATCTATTGTATTACCTATCAACAATTTTATATATTTAATAAAAATAATAAATTTTAATGTATAATTAATAAATATTAAATACTCTTCAGGCTGTTCCGTGTATGATTGTCATTGGAAAACAGCGAAAAGAAGCTAGTTACTCCGAAGCTTTGGGTATTATTGCAGCAACGATTCCGTCAATAAAAATGGTCTACACTAACTTCGAAGTAAGATTGAGGAATCAGGTACAAGCAATCATGCAGACATTAAGGGAACTTTTTACTGTTATTCGAATGTGAGCATTTATTTTTTTTTGCGATAGATAATTTTTTAACTTTATTTACATTATAATATTATTATTGTTTAAACTACTTTATAGATTATTTACTAGCTGGCAATTAAGTATGATCTTCATAAAGATGACAATGATACCATTATCATACGAAAAGTGATAGCTTTGAGTATGATTCTTTCAACAGCTACTCAACAATTATACTTCATACTGTGGCAGTCATCACCTTTGACCGAAAGGACACGTTTCGAACCGTTTCTTACTGATTTCAATAAAATTTGGATTCAAAATGCTGTGAACGAGTGCTGTGCCTATGAAAATATGGCTATTTTCAACGACTGTCAGCGATCTGCACTTCGTAATTTCATAAATTTTATGAATAATTAGACAAGAGCACAATTTGGCATGTTTTGAGTGAGTAATTAACAATGAAATGGTTCAAATTACATCCATTATCAAATTATTTAACCTAACACTAATAAAAAAATCAGGAATACGGTTGACCCTAAAGGCCATCCCTGCAACTTCCCGCCAATTCTATACCTAAACGCTTGAAATCGCACTTATGACGTTTTAGAGCCCTTCGAGCTCATAAATACAATTTGAGTATTATTTTGAGCTCTCCGAGCTTTTATATGCTCTCCGAGCTTTTGTATGCTTTTGAGCTCAAAAGTTTGATAAAACACTATTTTTTTAATTTTCAAACCGCAATAACTTTTGAATGAATGAACCGATTTTTACGCAGTTGGCGGCATTCTACGCAGTTTTTTAAGCCTCATAAAGAATTCTTAAGTTTCAATTGGTTTAACTAGAAATTTCGGAGTAATTCCGAAAAAACACTTTTTTCGGTTTTTTTTCGTTCACGATATCTCTTGAACGAATCAACTGATTTTGACCGGATTGGCGGCAATCGACGTGGTTTTTTAAGGTTGAGAGCTGATTAGTTTTTGAAATCGATCGGTAGAGCCGTTTAAAAGTTATTCCAAAAAAACCACTTCTGAAAAAAATTTTTTTCCTATTTTTTCCTATTTTTTTGGAGATTTCTCTAAATTTCTCAAAATCTATCGGTCCGAATCGGTTCAAATTTTAAGGAAATCTAAGTTTAGTGAAGCTCTTTCGAATGGCACCAACCACGATGAAATCGGTTCAACCGTTCAAAAGTTACAAGAGGTTTACATACTTACACACACACACACACACACACACACACACACACACAGCGGACAAGAAGGGCACAAGATTGCTGATTGCGAAAATCCAGCCAAATGTGCATTATGCGCTGAGATTGAAAGTGTAGAGAATGTTGCCCACCATGCCGGTACCCATAAGTGCCCGGTATTTCAGAATGCACTCCAGAAGTTGACGAACAAACAAGCATGAGGATACTGCAGCTCAATCTCAACCATTGTGAGGCAGCGCATAACCTGCTCATGCAATCCGTGCGAGAACTAGAGCTTGACTTGGTACTGATAGCAGAGCCATATAAACACCTGAGTACCCAACCCTGGGAATCTGACAGCACATCCAAAGCTGTCATCTGGTCATGTGGCAAGCTCCCTTTCCAAAATGCGGTCGACAACAGCAATGCCAGCTTTGTAGCAGTATCAGTAGAGGGCATTCGCTTCTATAGCTGTTACGCACCACCTAGCCTCTCTACTGTCGAATTCACCGCATTTCTGGATCGACTTACCGAGGACGCGAAGCATTACCATCCAGTGGCAATAGCTGGGGACTTCAACGCCTGGGCAGTAGACTGGGGAAGCAAGTATACAAACGCGCGAGGAAAGGAATTACTAGAAGCCTTTTCTACATTAGATGTAGTACTACTCAACAGTGGTGACACACCAACCTACACCAAGGGAGACGCAAGTTCTATTGTAGATCTCACTTTCGTCAGTGGCAGCCTCACCAGAGGTAATATCAACTGGAAGGTGATGGATACCTACACAGCCAGCGACCACAACGCGATTCTCTGGGAAATATTAAACGCCCAGAGCCCGAGAAGACCTAAAGAGCAACTTAACACCATTGGTTGGAAGGTAAAAACTCTTGACCCAAGTACATTACTAGAAGCTCTCAATAGTGACCAGATTATCGCGGGTTGCGCAGAAGAGAAGACCAAGGACCTGATGAAAAGAGTGACCCAGGCGTGCGACGCCAGTATGTCTCGTAGACGTGGCATGAACACAAGACCTTCCGTTCACTGGTGGAACAACCACATCAGCGCCCTTCGTAAAGAGTGTCATCAAAAGAGAAGAATATCTCAGCGTGGCTACCGACGAACTAACTCTGTGGAACTGGTTGCAGAGTACAAAAAGGCCCGCCGTGAACTGAATAAAGCCATCAAAGAGAGCAAAAGAAGATGCTGGAAAGAGCTTATATACGAGGTGGATAAAGACGTGTAGGGGAGGCCTTATAAGGTGGTTATGACCCACCTGAAAAAACAACAAATGCCATCACCTACGTGTCCCCAACTTCTTCAGAAAATCGTCACTGCACTGTTTCCACAGCAACGCAACTTCGATTACCACTTGGCGCCAGCCGAATTGGACGACATACCACCTGTCACTGAAGAAGAATTGCTAGAGGCTTGTAACCGTGTAGAGAATAATAAAGCGCCGGGATTGGACAAAATCACTAATTTAGTCTTAAAAACCATCATAAAAGCAGCTCCAACATTATTCCTAGA